TGGCAGTGCAGAAATTATTATTATTATTATCGTGTAATAAGTTTTGCGGCTATATACGAGTATTATTGGCAACCTCGTTTTCACGTAATTCAGTGTTTTGAAATCTGTTTTGGTAAGAAATCTAGCAAAAGATCGTAGCATGTTGTTTTGAGCATTATAACATATTGTCATTCGTAAAACATCGTAAGCTAGTGCCATCACATTAAGCTCTTTGTTTAAAACACAGTTGTACTTTGTAAGAGTCAATTTCAACATAACGATCTTGTTTACCTTTTCAAGAGTTTTTTGAATTGACCGTAACGTTTAGACATTTCCTGTTTCCGTTTAGCGTCCAGTTACGAAAACTAACTATCAGATATGGAGGAATCTCACATTGTCCTTCGACAAACTGATCATAATCCCTTGACACTCGCTAACTATCCATTCTTTGGTGAATTTGTGATCAAGGCCGAGCTATATGTTTTGGAGACGCCTGCCATTTTAACTTTGTGACAGCCAGTCTATTTCGCAACGGGGTTACCGCTACTTTTGACTCAGATTAGTGTTTTGCATTGTAAAGTTTATGTAATCTTGTGAATTACGTACAGAAGAACCCAGAAGTGTATTTGATGATGTATCAGGTCATGTTACAAAGCCGATGTTAATTCTGACAACTGGAACTATGTGATTCTCACTGTTGTATTCATACGCGATGTATCATTATTTATGAACGTGTTTTTCATAAATATGACTTCCAGTGCAACTGTCAAATTGTATAAGGGTCTGAGTCATTGTTTTTAAACATCTTATGTGTCAGATAAACTCCAATTGCCTCCTAACTCTATAATCTTCCTCTTTGAACTGTCCATCATAATTCCTAGCCGATGTTGCTGGTTGTTATTACGTCCCCTCAGCAGGCAGCAATGACGTAGCAAGACGTAGAGAGATGAAATTCAGATCTTATGATATTGGAAGGCATTTAACGAATCAATTACACATAATTAATTGGTTGGTAAAAATAGTCATTTTCCTACCTGATTACCTCCTGAGATAATTCGCCTTCCTCTTTATTTCAGTGGTTTCATGTTGTGAAAGTAGACCCCTCAAAAGAAGAAGGACGTACCGGGACGTAATATCTCGTAATTTGATTGGTCTAGAACTTACATGTGACCATTTTCTCATACCTATAAGTACGGTGAGATCCATGTTGGGACATTCTGACTTATGCAGTCTACAGGTCAGTTTTAAACCAAGGGCAGATAATTCAGCCCAGAAGTCCCCCTTGTCCTTACATAATTATTTTAGCTGATGCTATAGATAGACCGCACTTTTCGAACACAGATACAAGTTACTATCTTAGTAACTATCAAGTTATTCAGATAACCCAGATAATTAAGTCATCACTATATCTATATAACAGTAAAGTAAAGTCCATACTTATGTTGCCCTAACACTGGTCCATGCACATAAACCTTAAGCTTGAGAGGGGTCTACTTATTACAAAGAGCATTGTGCTGAAGTACATTTATACCCATGAATAAAATGCTATTTATTCACTGAAAAGAAGTGTTCGACTCTTCCTGAAAACAACACTGACAAGGTTTATTAGAAGTTTGAGTCCCGGCCGCCACAATATGTAACGTACGTTCTTGGGAAGGCCTGACCTCAGTGAGGTGTCCGAATTCACCATTAGAACTGCAAACTCCAGTACAAACACTAAGCCATGTTTACACGCTGTTTATTAAATGATTCTGGAAGCAACATACACAAAAGAAGGCAATGAAACAGAAATAAAATATCAATACAACATACAATAAATATGTATTTCAACCCTCGTGAGAAACAGTTCTGATTCGATGAAACCATTTCAGGGTAGTATTATCGTCATCTGTGATGTAGCTGAGTATAACTATGTGTGAGTGAGTTACAGTTAAAGCCATATAAGCAGCATTTCAGTCATACCGTGACTAAAACAAGTTATAGATAAAGTTAAGTTATATACACAAATCTGTCGGCGAAGGACTATAGATGGCCATCAACTATCATTATTTGTACCAGGGGCCATGGGAGTCAAGTGAGTCTTTGTACCAGGGGCCATGGGAGTCAACTGAGTCTTTGTACCAGGGGCCATGGGAGTCAAGTGAGTCTTTGTACCAGGGGCCATGTCAACTGAGTCGTCACATGGAGTCAACTGAGTCTTTGTACCAGGGGCCATGGGAGTCAAGTGAGTCTTTGTACCAGGGGGGGCCATGGGAGTCAGTCAAGTGAGTCTTTGTACCAGGGGAGTCTTTGTACCAGGGGCCATGGGAGTCAACTGAGTCTCTTTGTACCAGGGGCCATGGGAGTCAGTCTGAGTCTTTGTACCAGGGGCCATGGGAGGAGTCACCAGCTATGGGACTCCAACTGAGTCTTTGTACCAGGGCCATGAGTCAACTGAGTCAACTGGAGCCATCTGGAGTCAAGAGTCTTGTATCAGGGGCCATAGGAGTCAAGTGAGTCTTTGTACCAGGGGCCATGGGAGTCAAGTGAGTCTTTGTACCAGGGGCCATTGGAGTCAAATGGGTTTTCTAATACTGTTTTCACTGAGTAAGGAAACAACATTCAGAAAGCAGCAAGTACTTAGAAATAACAGCAAATAGACGTCTCCGTGTGGACATTGTATACACACATATCTCCTGCATAGAAAGCCATACTAATCCTGCATACTTTTCATCAATGACTCTTATTCTTCAGCAACTAACAGCCAGTAACAACATGTTCATCAAACATAAAAACGTCAATTGTAAACCACTGGAAGAGGTGTGATCACATGCTAGACGCGGTAGATGTACAGTGAAATACAACCCTGCATACACATATTGCTCAATGGACGGCACACATGGTGTTTGTTGAGGTTTTCAGATGCGTTTTACACTGGGTATGAAAACACAATTCAGAAAGCACCAAATACCTGTCAGGAATAAAGCTATACTTGACCTGATCGTGATGATATACATACACAACATCTGCATAAACAGCAAAACTAATCCTAAATACCTTTCATCAATGACTCTTCCTCTTCAGCAACACAAGGACAGTAACAACATGTTAGTCAGTTTTGTCTAGAAAGTGAGATATATTTGATGGTGATTCCGAAATAAACCGTAATCTTTGTTATTGCTGTCTTCCAAAAGCATATATACTCACAGACAAAAGTTAGTGTGATCAACACATTTGTTTATAGAACTGAGGAACTTTTGATAACACACCTTAATATTCTGTATAATACACTTAATCCATAACCCCAAAATGGCCCTGTCGGTAGTGTATTTTTCGCATGCGTTTTTCGTGTTTTCAAGAAAAGGCATAAAACATGTGCCCTTTAAATAGTGTGGCTCTAAACCTCGAATCACTGTCGCTATTTAAACGTCGCCGGGTCCGAGAAACACAAATTTGGAAGACTCTGCATGCATTTCTCTATGCCACGGGTAACTGAAAATGAAAGATGGGGAGCCATTGGAATGCTTGAAACTAGGACACCCAAGCGCAACAGTGCACAGCAGTTTAACGGCCAAGCAATGAACACCATATGCCACTTGTGGAGACGTTGTCAACAAAACGCCGTCGTTGCAAACCGTCCCCGAAGTGGTCGTCCATCTGTAACCACGCCACGCAACGGTCGTTGTATTCGAACCATCCATCTGCCTCAAAGATTCCAACCAGCCACACTGACAACACGAAGAGTTCCTGGTGTCAACAGGATATCGCCAAGGACCATTCGTCTGTGTCTGGCTGCACACGGGATAAATGCTAGTCGTCCTACCAGACGACAATTTCGACATTACGTCACCAACGTCTACGACTGCAGTGGTGCAGACAGCATTTTCGGTGGAGAACACGTGAGTAGAGACGCGTTCTGTTCACTGGCGAGTCAAGATTCCTCTTGAACCGTACTGATGCTAAATCTTCAGATTTGTCCCCTATCGAACACGACTGGGAAGAAATGGAGAGGAAATCGAGATGTTGGCCAAATCCTCCAGTCACGCTTCAGGAACTCTGCCAGGTGCTTCCACAGATATGGAATACCATTCCACGAGATTATTTTGTGATGTTTGATTGGCTCTGTGAGGGAATGTGTCAGGCATGCATCAAAGCTGACGGCGAACATACACTTATTCACTGTGTGAATTTCATTTTGACCGTTCCCTCACTGTGACCACAGTAGCATGTGTGCTCCAGAAAAGTTTAATATGTTCCATTTGCAATCCTATTAGGGAATGACTTTCTTGCCATATTAAAAAAACCCGTCTTATCATAGAAATGAACAGTTGTTAATTCACAGATCTAACACCTAGTCAATCACAAAAACTTTTGCCTTTGTGTATATTAAGGGAACGCATTTGAGAGAATTGAGGGACAATGTCAATATGATATATCGAGATCTACTATTAAACAAAACAAAAATGTACAAAATTTCATGACATTCATCTGTTTGTTCCCTGTTGATATCATGAGTTTGCTCCTTTTCCTGTTTCCAGTAACTGCCAGGTCTCGGAGTTACTTTCTGTTTATTCAGCTGGTGCACGTAAGACTTGATTTCAACAGGTTTTTTCCATGGTGACAGCTTCTTGGGTCTGTTTCATTTGTCCCGAGTTTAAGCTCTATCCGGCTTGTACATATTCAGATGGTACACGTCAGACCTCGGTATTGACTTCATTATGTCATTCCATGGCTTGACATTCCTCTCTGAGTCTCCACCTGATGTAAGTGTTTCCATGATTTGTCTGCAGTCCACTTTAAGGGCAATGTTCAAGGCGTCATCCCCTGTACTGTCAACCAGTGTCAGATCAGCGCCTCTACTTCTAATGTAGTCAAACACTGCAACTTTACCATGTAACACGGATGTCATGATGCATGATAAGCCACCGTTGTCTTGAGTGTCTATATTGAACTTGTCTGAGATATGTTTCACAATGTCAAGGTGGCCATATCTACAAGCAAGATGTAGAATAGTGAGTCTGTCATTGTCCACCGGAGTGAGGTCAGCATCCCATCAGGAACTTCACCACACTCATATGGCCTCCAACAACAGCTCTCATCAGAGGCGTGCAACCATTCGTACCCCTTGTGTTGATGCCAAAGCTGTCAGTGACCTTCCTAACAATGGCTTTGTTCCCACCTTGACAAGCTGCATGAAGAACATTGTCATTCTGTGGAGTAGTCAAAAATGGAATACCCCCATTTGCTGCAATCAGATCATAAGCATCCATCTTTCCACTGAGAGCTGCCATCATTATTGGCGTCCACCCATCTTCTCCCAGACTGTTGATGTCAAACAGAGGCAGGAGATACTTTATGATGGACGTGTTTCCTCCCTGACAAGCAAGATGCAGTAAATTGTTCCTGGAGAGATCCAGCAGATCCATCTCAACACTTTGTGACACAAGGAGGCTGAACACATTCCTCTGTCCTGCCCAAGCTGCATGCATAACTGGTGTGCAGCCATTCCGTCCTTTAGCATTTATGTCCATCATCTTCAGAAGATCCCTTACAATGGCTGTGTCTCCGCCAAGACATGCAAAATGTAGAACGTTATCATTGTAGTCATCGATTAGATTCAGCTCAGCTTCCTTTGACACAAGGAGATGAAAAACATTAGTTTTGCCTGCCAAGGCTGCCCCATTACAGCTGTTCTTTGTTGAATCCCCGGTGATTGATATCACTCTGCTGTAGGAGGTGTTCTACTATTGAAGTGTTTCCACCACGACAAGCTAAGTGAAATATGGGCGCGTTGTAATCATCCTTCAGTGACATGTCAGCTCCCCAAGAGACAAAGTCAAACACGCTCTTCACTCCATTCAGGACTGTGTACATCACAGCTGTCCTGCCATCTTGTCCACGAGTGTTGATGTCACCTGGAAGCAGATGCTTTATGATGGACCTGTTTCTTCCCTGACAGGCGAGATGAAGCATGTTGTTACCGTGGTCGTCAGTAAGAGTTAGATCTGCTTGTTGTGACACAAGCACGTTGAACAGACGCCTGTTTCCTAACGAAGCTGCTATCATCGCTGGTGTCAAACCCTTCTTTTCCCTGGTATTGACGTCAAACATTTGAAGAACACACTGAACGATCGACGTCTCGCCTCCCTTACATGCTGAGTGTAGGACACTATCTCTGTAGTCATCGAACACTTTTACATTGGCGTTCTTTGAGACCAGAAAATCGAAAACATTTTTGTTTTTGACAGAAGGTGCCTCCATGATTGCTGTTCTCCCATTGTCTTCCAAACTGTTGACGTCAACATTTGGAAGTAGTTGTTCCACTATTGACTTATTTCCACCTAGACAAGCTAAATGAAACACGGAATTGTTGTGGTCACCCTTCAGCGATGTATCAGCTCCCTCTGAGACAAGCAAATCAAACACACTCTTCACTCTGTTGACAGCTGCGTACATCACAGGCGTCCTGCCATCCTGTCCACGGCTGTTGATGTCAAACAGTGGTAGCAGATGCTCTGTGATCGACATGTTTCCTCCCTGACATGCGAGGTGAAGCATGTTGTTGCCCTGGTCGTCTTTCAGAGTGAGGTCCACTTCTTTTGAAACAAGCAAGTTTAAAACATCTGACTTTCCAAATCGAGCTGCTACCATAACTTGTGACCAGCCATTCGTTCCCCTCGCATTGAGGTCAGCTGTTGTCAGCAGATGTTGAAGAATGTCTACATTCCCTCCCTCACATGCAAAATGTAAGACGGTGTTATTGAAGTCGTCAGTTTGTTTAAGATCAACTTTTTGGGACACAAGAAAATCAAAAACACGAATGTGCCCTGACTCTGCAGCTTTAGGTTCCCACCTACCCAAGTGGAATACAGAGTTGTTGTAGTCATCCTTCAAGGATACGTCAGCCCCCTAAGATACAAGGAGGTCAAACACGTCCTTCGCTCAACTGGCAGCTGCATACATAACTGGCGTCCATTCTTTACTCCCAGGACTGTAGATGTGATACGTTTTCAGTAGATGTTTCACAATGGTGACATGTCCACCATGACATGCCAGGTGAAGGAAATTGTTGTTTTTGTCGTCTTTCAGGTAAAGATTAGCCTTTGCTTTATCCAGCTGGTCAAATGCATGTTTTGATCCATTGACAGCTGCCTTCATTAGAGGTGTCCAACCGTGATTCCTTGAATATCAGCGTCAATCTTTGTCAGTAAAGTGTCGGGTATGTCATCAAGGAGGCAGGCTAAATGAAGAAGACTGTTGTTGTCATCGTCAGTCACTGACAGGTCAGAATTTTGTGATACGAGTAGGTTGAACATATACATCCTCCCTGACAATAGAGCACACATCATAGGCGTCATTCCGTTTTTCCCGTGACAATCTCTGTCTATTGATGGCAACAACGAATTAACATAGAGATCATTCTTGCCCGCGACAGTTGCATGCATAATCGGTGTCCATCCATTCACTCATCGACTGTTGATATGCCAAGTGTTACTTTTCTTCAGCTTTCGTTCAACATATTGGACAAGTGAAATACTTCCATATTGACAAGCCAAATGTAACAGGTTATTGTTCATGCTTTATGCTCCACTAGAAGTTTCAAACTGTCCATCTGTCAACCAGTAACTGCAAACATAACTGGCGTCCAGCCATTCACAGCACGTCTATTGATGTCACAGTGGGGGAGGAGTCGGTCTATGATGTCGTTATTCCCCATGAAACAGGCATAATGGAGAATACCGTGCTTTGTATCATGAGACTTGGTCCCATCATCTGGAAACATTTGATTCACTTTGTCTGCAACTTCCTTCATTTTCCAGATGGGATGCATGATGTAGTTACTGAACGTGCCATCAGCAACAGCTTCAGCCAGTCTGGCGGTGATGACGTCACTGTGAGCACCTGGGAAATAAATGACAGTCTGTTCTGCTGGAGCGGTGTCATGCTGCTGATCACGTACATGGTCCCAGATGAACTTTAAACTACAGTTATGGAGGAACAGCTCTGGGTTAGTATTCAATATGGCAGACATCCACATGTTTTGTATTAGAGGAATATTGGAACATGAGACAAGGGCCAGGACATCCTTCAGGTGTGAGTCTTGTATTTGGTTGTCGGATACAGTGTGGTGTTTTCTTGTATTCTGTTCACCTCCACATAGTGACTTCAGCAGGAACTTTACTGAGGGATCGTCCAGGTGATTTATTTTCTTATGCAGTTCCTGTTTTAGATGGAATTTAGGCATTTCAAAAAACGATTCTTTGTGTTTTTGAAAGGGGGCATATCTTGAGAAAAGCTTGCATGCCAGAGGAAAACCAACCCTTTCCTCGTATGCAATAAATATGTCTACGTTGACCTCAGTTTTACTGTCGTAATGATTTTTGTGTTTCAGCCATATGGCCTCCTTCTCTTCATCTGTCATCAATTTGGTCAAGTCTACTACTGAAGAGTTTTGGAACAATATAGGTTCTTTGAGTTTTGGCATTGCATGTTCAAGGTTGTTGGAATCTGTAGTGAATATGATATATACCTTCGGGCGATCTTTTCTCCTTTGTTCGGTTCCTGGTGTTTGCTGCAGGATGTCCGTCCATGGATGGCCCAACGCTCTGAAATACGTCATCGAATATGACACAGACGTCTTTGTCCTTACACAGACAATCAGACAACTGGAAAGTACCAACGTCCTCAACCAGTACCACTTCATACCCATGTCTCCTGAATTCAGCTCCTAACATCAGAGCCATGGATGTTTTACCTGCTCCTGGACCACCGCTTATTATCACGTGGCCAAGTGTTTCCAGTTTGTCTTTAACCTCCCGGTAACCCTCAGTTTCCACGAACAGGTCACTGATGTCCTTCTCCCTGGACGGCTGATCTGTTCAGGCAGAAATAATATCACACACTTAAATTAAGTTGGGAGACATAACTCAGTAAATTATACATTCGTGTATCCATTCATTGTAGAAACATCTCCTCTCAGAGAACCATCATTTATTTATCATAAAATCAATTGCTCAATTTGTGAATTGTCGCTTGATGGAATTACAGCGAAGTTATATGAAACCATTTTTTCCGTTACCTAAGTGGGAATGTTAAAGATGAACTGTCTCAAAAAACAAAGTTGTACTAAAGTCGCAGTTTATGTATGTACCTGTCGGCTGCTTGTCAAAGTCGGGAACAATCTTATGTGTATCCTCGTTTCCTGGTGACTCTGTCAAAATATACGTCACATTTGATTCACAGAAAAACGAAAGTTTGTTCTATAAATGGTAGGAATATTTTCAGGACTCTGTTATACTGCGAAGGAGATAAGAAAACATTATTGACACTTGAAACAACATATATGTCAACACCAACACGTCACTATACTCACCGCACGGGTCTGCTTCAGGATGCTCCGCTTCAGGATGCTTCTCAATCAAGGGAACTGAAACATGTTATGTGATGGTCAGAGCATGTCTATCAAACACATACACTACACAATAACAAACAATTTCTGGTGTCCCCCGCCGTGATATTGCAGGAATATTGCTAAAAGCGGCGTAAAACAAGACTCACTCACTCACTATTTCCTGCATATTCATCTTTTCTAAGACATGATCTATAAATAAAATAATCCAAAACTTATCGGATGAGAAACTATGATAATATAAAGGCACTAAGAATATAGCTGACTTAACACTATCTGAAACACTGCTGGCATCTCCCGATTAGTGATGTTCACACTCAGGGCATTATAACACTATACATTGTTCACAGATCAAGAATGAATCGATTTCACAGCATTGTATTGTGCAGCTAACCATAACTAAAATAGTATAGAATTATCATTTTACATTCATACGTTAACTCCAGCCTTCAACACTTCCACACATGGTCTGAAGTCGCATGTACACTCACTATACTGACCTGTATAGTGCGGCCTCAACGGAGCTGAAACAGCTGAAACATCAAACAATTGAGCAAAATGAACAACTCTCCATATTGCCTGACATTTGCATCGTCTTCAGTAGAGTTTCATGAAGCAAATGACGTTTGTGAAAACATCTCCCCATTTCCCTAATGATATCTCGGGAACTTATGTACTACAATAGTACAAGGCAGATCACTCTGGGTATCAGGAACACGCTGTCACCAGGGGTTAAGTCCGTAGTTTGTTACTCACGAGACCAAAGTGTTTGTTCACCGTTTTGGGCCATCTTGGAAACAAAATGTCTGGGGTTGTTTGTTCAAAGTATTCCTTTCTGAGTGTGTTCATCCACAAATATCCCATAGTTAATACACAATCAACTGTAGCATGGCATCTGTAGTACACGGTGATGGACAACTAACCATCACTTTCCACATTAGGAAATACTTTGAGTGGCAGCTAGGTGTCATCTGTAGGTCTAGTACATTGTGATGGACAGTTAACCATCACTATATGGATATTCTAGTATAAGCAGTGATGGTTACGCCCTTAAATTAGAGTTACCTCCCTTTGTCTATATGTACACAGTACTGACTGACTAAATTTGGTTTTACGCCGTTTTGAGCAATATTCCAGCAACATCACGGCGGGCTGTACACAGTAAAAGTGAAGAAAATACATGTGTATACACATACACGCACGCACACCCACCCCCACGCACGCACAGACACACACATACATACATGAACATACGAACATTTATTGCCAACACCCTCCCTACAATAACAATAACAACACGCACGCACGCACGCACGCGCGCACACACACACACACACACACACACACACACACACACACTTATTACCCTCAAACAATAACAACGCTAACACGCACGCACACACACACACATGAAATATACTTACCGGCCTTAGGGGTACTGCAAAGAAAAGAAAACATTTGAATTACTTTCTATTTCATATTTAGATGTATGTGGTTGCATCTGAAGCTTCAGATCAAGGTACTGTTCGCTAATTCAAGAATGTTGTATCTTTGTCGTGTCAATGTATGTACACATATTTAGATGTTGTTGACAAGGCATTTCTTTAATATGTTTGGCCCGAAATTCATTTACACTCAACGAATTCCACAATGATAGAAGTTATAGTTACCTGTATTCGTTATTGGGATATCTTCTTTTCGATTCAGCCCTTCTCCTCGATCTCCTGGAAATGAAGTAGAAGTAATTCTGATTGAAGTAAGTTCACGTGTTGAATGTATGTTTATGAGCATCTACACGGAGCCTCATACTTACATGAAGCAATGTACAGAAAATGTTGTTTTACTAAAGGTAACCTGTTCTCGACATTTTATGTATTCTGCACAATACCAAATACCATAAGTCGAACAATACCAAATACCGTTAGTCGAACAATACCAAATACCGTAAGTCGAACAACATGTCATTCATTTCTGATATTGTGAGTCAGTGAAGAATAGTCTACACCATCCATAAAACCCGGTAGTAGATATTGTACAGTCAATATATACAATCTGCAAATGTGGAAAAAGAATGAAATTTAAATTCAGTCTGATAACAAAACGCGAGAATAGCTCAGTTAGTTTACAAACTGATTGTTGTCTATTCAATGACGAATTCCCAGCTGTTTTATGCATGGTTTCATCATCCATTTACTGAAAACTGATAGGAGAAAAGGAAAACGAAGGTCTTTTCTTTTCAATATTTAGATAAGTGGCGTTTCATCCTGGCAAATTTAGACCACTATCAATTGTTTGCCCTTTGGAATTTAAAATAAGTTAGAGTAAATGTTCGCCAAAGGTCTGGGCAAATGTGGAGTGAATTTTGGATATGACCGAAGAACAAGGGTTTTGTAGACTGCCGAAGTGAATCACATTTGCACTTTGATTTACTCACGTTGATTGTGGCAAACATATTTATGGAGTAGACTATACACTTACAGTCTGAACACCACCACAGCAAGGATAATGATACAGACGATGACGATGAGGATAATGAGGAATATACACTTACAGTCTGAACACCACCACAGCAAGGATGATACAGACGATGAGGATAATGAGGAATATACACTTACAGTCTGAACACCACCACAGCAGGTGATACAGAGGATGATACAGACAAGGGACAGACGATGGATAATGAGGAATATACACTTACAGTCTGAACACCACCAATAGGGTGATACAGACGATGAGGATAATGAGGAATATACACTTACAGTCTGAACACCACCACAGCAAGGATGATACAGACGATGAGGATAATGAGGAATATACACTTACAGTCTGAACACCACCACAGCAAGGATGATACAGACGATGAGGATAATGAGGAATATACACTTACAGTCTGAACACCACCACAGCAAGGATGATACAGACGATGAGGATAATGAGGAATATACACTTACAGTCTGAACACCACCACAGCAAGGATGATACAGACGATGAGGATAATGAGGAATATACACTTACAGTCTGAACACCACCACAGCAAGGGTGATACAGACGATGAGGATAATGAGGAATATACACTTACAGTCTGAACACCACCACAGCAAGGATGATACAGACGATGAGGATAATGAGGAACATACACTTACAGTTTGAACACCATAAGCAAGGATGATACAGAGGATTAGGATAATGAGGAATATACGCTTACAGTCTGAACACCACCACAGCAGAGGTGATACAGACGATGAGGATAATGAGGAATATACACTTACAGTCTGAACACCACCACAGCTAGGGTGATACAGACGATGAGGATAATGAGGAATATACACTTACAGTCTGAACACCACCACAGCAAGGGTGATACAGACGATGAGGATAATGAGGAATATACACTTACAGTCTGAACACCACCACAGCAAGGATGATACCGACGATGAGGATAATGAGGAATATACACTTACAGTTTGAACACCACCACAGCTAGGATGATACAGACGATGAGGATAATGAGGAATATACACTTACAGTCTGAACACCACCACAGCAAGGATGATACCGACGATGAGGATAATGAGGAATATACACTTACAGTTTGAACACCACCACAGCAAGGGATGATACAGACGATGAGGATAATGAGGAATATACACTTACAGTCTGAACACCACCACAGCAAGGATGATACCGACGATGAGGATAATGAGGAATATACACTTACAGTCTGAACACCACCACAGCTAGGGTGATACAGACGATGAGGATAATGAGGAATATACACTTACAGTCTGAACACCACCACAGCAAGGATGATACAGACGATGAGGATAATGAGGAATATACACTTACAGTCTGAACACACCACAGCAAGGGTGATACAGACGATGAGGATAATGAGGAATATACACTTACAGTCTGAACACTACCACAGCAGGTATGATACAGACGATGAGGATAATGAGGAATATACACTTACAGTCTGAACATCACAACAGCAAGGGTGATACAGACGATGAAGATAATGAGGAATATACACTTACAGTTTGAAACCACCACAGCTAGGGTGATACAGACGATGCAGATAATGAGGAATATACACTTACAGTCTGAACACCACCACAGCAAGGATGATACAGACGATGAGGATAATGAGGAATATACACTTACAGTCTGAACACCACCACAGCAAGGATGATACAGACGATGAGGATAATGAGGAATATACACTTACAGTCTGAACACCACCACAGCAAGGATGATACAGAGAATGAGGATAATGAGGAATATACACTTACAGTCTGAACATCACCACAGCTAGGATGATACCGACGATGAGGATAATGAGGAATATACACTTACAGTCTGAACACCACCACAGCAAGGATGATACAGAGGATTAGGATAATGAGGAATATACGCTTACAGTCTGAACACCACCACAGCAGAGATGATACAGACGATCAGGATAATGAGGAAAATATACTTACAGTTTGAACACCATCACAGCAAGGGTGATACAGAGGATGAGGATAATGAGGAGCACTGGGACAAGGATCGCAGCAAGATTGTTGTCATCGGGGCCTGCCGTGCATGTGACTGCCAAAATACCTTTTGAAAAACAATAATAATAATAAACATCCACGATAAATAAACAACAGATTAATATGAGATATGGGCTTTCCATATGAGTGTCTATGTAACCATGAAATATGACAACTGTGAACATCCATTTTCGAATTTATCCTCAGCAACCCATGGCCCTAACAAGGAACATTGGGACAAGAATCTCATAAAGATTATCTGTTGTCGTGGTTGTGTGTACGAAAAATGCTTCTCAAAACGAAGAAAAACATAAACCTATTTAATTAAAGGTGTAACCATCACTAACCCGGTTTACAACCACATTTTGTAATGCAATTTTCTATGACATACAATTAGATACATAAAGGTTAAACATTGCCTTATAGAATGTCGAGGTTTGGAATCTTCACTGCACCTTACTTTAACACGTGTTTCAAAAATCGCTACCTGAGTGAGTGAGTGAGTGAGTGAGTGAGTGAGTGAGTGAGTGAGTGAGTGAGTGAGTGAGTGAGTGAGTGAGTGAGTGAGTGAGTGAGTGAGTGAGTGAGTGAGTGAGTGTCAGTGAGTGAGTGAAGATTTAAAGTCACATAGGCAATATTTCAGCCATATCGTAACTAAAACTAGTTCTAAATTCATAATAAATACATATGATATATAAAACCCTGTCAACAAAGGACAGTAAAATTGCTAGAGTATGACAAAATGGGTTAAAACTAGATAGCGGATATCTTTAAAAGTGAAAACCTATTTTTGGACAATACAATGTGAAAATGGGCTATTGATCGCCAACAACTGAAGGTAGATCACCATACAAGGGACTATGGGGACTTACAGTACATTTGCTTCCTGCATGGACCCTAGCTGCATTTACACCATCCCTTCAGCCGTCAGCGACGTGCCAATTATGCTGAGATTTAGCCATACATTAAAATGACAAAAATACTACGATTAAAATCCTGTTATACTTAAATATGCTTGAAATGTTTTGGGACTTACGTACCTACCTACCAAGAACTAATATATAAAATGCATATTTATGATTTTCTACTTATTGTCTTCGATGTTAAAGCAGTTAAGAAAGTTTAGGTCCTGCATGAACTACTGTACCTGAAGTCTCATTACAGAAATCTCCAATGTAGGTCTCTTTACAACCTAACGTACAATGTCCATTCCCGTGATTGCAGGTTTCGTTTAAACAGCCTCCGCTGCAGGATATGTTACACTGGTCGCCATGGTAACCACGAACACATCCCTCAGAACATTTCCCAGTGTACTTCTGACAGTGTCTGAGGTTTCTCCCTGGGTCAAGGTAACAGTTGGAGGGGCAGGTCCTGTCGCAGTTCTCGCCATATATTCCCCAGGAGCATTGCTCATGCACCGGTAAATCTGGAAGAGAATTGTTGTTACATATTAAAACTGACAAATAGTAATGAGGCAAGGTAACATCGATTTGCAAAATTTGAAGACAGTATGACCTCATGTGTGCTCTATGACCCTTAGTCTGAATTGGAGCTAAAACATCTTATCCTACGATATAGATATAACACAGGTACTCACTGATCACCAGCAGAACTGCAAGTAGCCACATTGCGGAAGTTGTTGCTTTACCTGTTGGAATACAAATATCGATAGTAACTACAAATAATAATAAAATGCTAAAGTTGCCGAGTTTAATTTTTTAAAATTTCGTGTGTAAAGACGAAAAGGCTTTTAGTGAACTTTCAAATATAGCAACAACTCAACCCTGAAACGTCATGTAAAACAATTGACAAACTAACAAACAAATGCAACAAACAACGGTTACAAGTTTACAAATCAGGAAAGGTTACTGCAAAGAGAATACATGGACATTGTTATTGGAACATGTATTGGCATTACAAAACTATGGGCAGAACTATGATGGTGGGACATGCTCATCGGGTATCGCCACTTATTTAAAGAAGTTGGAAGCTGACTATGGCAATGACAATGATTTTAGCAGATTAACTGACTGACTGACTGTGTGAGTTTAGTTTTACGCCGCTTTTAGCAATATTCCAGCAATATCACGGCGGGGGACACCATAAATGGGCTTCACACATTGTGCCCATGTGGGGCATCGAATCCGGGTCTTCGGCGTGACGAGCCAACGCTTTAACCACTAGGCTACCCCACCGCCCTATTTGTAGCAAATTAATAATAATAATGAAAGTCCACTTGTAACGCGCTGAACCCATGCACAGTACATTCTCTAAGCACACATGTCTGAGAGGAGGTGCGAGAAGTTACACAGAGAAGGAAAATCTGAACAAAAAGGTTTTGGGTTTCAAACGATGACAATGATTAGGATTTCTTCCTAAAACATTTTCAATACCTGATGTCAAAATACACACCACCTATATTCAATCATTATGTCTGATTTACATTCAGTATGATATCTGGGTTTCTAACCTCAAAGCCCGAGAAACCGTCACAGACGCAAGTGAAACCAAACATTCGTCCGTACGGAAACCAAGATGTTTTATTAGTAGTAAATGTTTCCTGAAAAACTTGAATGGCTTCGAAACATAGTGTGCTTTGTTTCCTGCTGACAAGGAACATGGAATCAACCCCAAACATCGCCAATCTGAAACTTAAACACAAACATAAGGTCATGTCGTTCATTTTAAAACTCTCCCCCAGTTCTGCTCTGGGTACATTTCATTTTGCATACAACGCTGTCTTAACATTTGTGAGAAACAATTGTGTTTTTCACTTTTTCAGAAAGAAAATAGCATGGAAATATTGGAGCTGTTGTCACTTGCTTGCATTGTTGGGACACACAAGGTAAATCCAGTTTGTAACATTACTATATACTGAATAACACTTCAATTACGTAATGCTATTGTTTACATCATATCATTATTATTGACATGTATATCATTATGTGCGTAAGAGAGTTTTGTTTTACGCCGCTTTTAGCAATATTCCGGTAATATAACGGCGAGGGACACCAGAAATGGGCTTCACACATTGTACCCATGTGAGAAATCGAACCGGGGTCTTCAGGGTGACGAGCGAAAGCTTTAACCACGAGGCTACCCTACTGCCCCTATCATAACTCAAACTAGTTTGAGACATACTTTCAGAAATCTGTTCCAGTTGCACCATGAAGAGACTGTTCAGACTGTAGTAACATCTCGGGACGGTGTCTCACACAAAGTGGCCATGGCTATTTCGGTCTGATGTGCAAATCTGTCTGCAGTAAGACGTGCAAGGGAAACATATACCAATCTTCAGCTACTGGCATTGGCGTGTGTTCCGAAGGATGTGCGTCTGGATACCAGGGCGGAAGGTGCCTCATACCATGTGACAGTCCAGGCGGTGGATGTACAGAATGTCCAGGTGGTTGTGATGGAGAGTACTGTTATCTGGACACTGTGTCCTGTGTGTCTGGCTGCAGTGATGGGCACTACGGATCTGACTCCAAGACGTGTTCTGACAGATGCAAAACATGCAACAGGACATCAGGGGCATGTTGGGAGTGCCATCCGCCATATTTCGGCCGGACTTGCGAGTATTCATGTGATCGATGTATAAAACCATGCAACTTTCGTTGTTTCCATGGATGCCTACCTGGGTTTTATGGCCCTTTCTGCAGTAAGAATTGCAGTGAAAACTGTCGAGTCAACCACACTTCTACGAACGAAACAGTTGCTATTTCCGAATGCCAAGAGAAGAGCGGAGAGTGTACCTATGGATGTAAAGATGGCTAGGTCGGTTTACAATGCTCCAATCAGTGTAAGTATGGAATTTCTAGGTATAAGTAATAATTAAACAGGTTTATGATTGATGATAGATTTATTTTTAGTTTTGATTGTCATGATTACGATAACAGAGAAAATGTCTCAGCATTATATACTACTCACACTTTGCTAAGGATCACAAAAAAATTAACAACTTTACTTACACGTACATTTATATTTTGAGCTTGTATTCATTTTAAACTGTAAAAATAATGATATGGTAACCCCTCTTTAGGCAAACAGTCCCTTTAATCTAACGTTATGCTGTTGATACATCAGTAACCATAAAAATGGTTTTCATGGCAGCAATCGACCATATTGCATATCATGGAACGAGTCACTGACAAGTACACAGCACCTGTCAATAGCAGGTATGGGATCCACAAGATGAAATGACATACTGAAACCTAGGATCTATGCTTACAATAAGCTTATATATTTTAAACCAAATTGGACCTCACATCATAGTTTTCTGTTGAATCCATGATTTGATCCTTAGCAAAGTGTGAATAGTAAATCTTGACCATGTGGCTTAACGTGATTTTTTTCTCTGTTCAGAAGAAAGTTAAGTCTGTCAGTAATTACTCATTATATATATCTATGTATGTTTAGATGGGGTTACACAAGCTGCTGATGCTGTTACAATAGCACTTTCAACAGGATCAGCACTTCTATTTCTGATGTTGATGGCAGTGTGCTACCGGTGTCGAAATGTCGTGAGATGTGACAGGTAAGATCCTAACAGAAGTAAACATTTGGCTCTATTGTCTTTTGCATGTCGTCCCTTACATGACCATGCCTGTGAAGATTTGGGTTAGAATTGGTCTTCAACCCATACTTATAGTAAAAGGCGACTAGCCGGATCCAGCGGTAAGGTTTGCTGACTTTATTGACACATGTCATCGGTTCCCAATTGCTTACATAAGTACTCATGCTGCTGATCACAGGATTGTCTTGTGGAGACTCGATTATTTATAGACCGTCGCCATATAGCTTGTAAATTGCTAAGTGCGGCGGAAAACAACAAACAAACAAAGAAACCCTTACAATACCTGTAGTTCGTAGAAATCAACTGGAAAACAGTATTGTTGAAACATATAGAAACATCTACCATCGATTTTTGGTCTTGTACGACTCTCCTTTTGGTTTACCGGGATGGTGTTCATTTAAGTTGCTTTGCTGTCACCTCTTGGTCAAACCTAGTAGTTTATCAAAGTGCATGAACATACACAACTGCCGCTATGCAGTTGCTATATGTAATTGTGTTTAGAGCTGATATAGAATGCTCGTTTATCAATGGTTATTTCACGATACTACACTGTACTAATTTTAAGTGTCAGTTGTTGTGGCTTGTCAGATAAGCATGTACCACACTTGGAAAAGATTACATTATACATAAGGGCTTTACCTGGACACATGTGCTATCATTTGTTAAACTCGCCCTGTGAATACTACAAAGTAGGAATGAAAATACAAAATAAATTAAGCTAGTGAACGTTACTGGAACATATCTTGGTATTGTGGACAATGACAGATTCAGTGTGTTAAATGAGATGACGTTAAAGTGAAAAATATGCTTTATAAATACGACATTTGTTACATTATGGGCGACAGGATAACGCAAAATGGTTGACAACTCAAATAATATAAATGAGTCCACTTCTTTTGTTACAAGGATGAATAAATATGTTCTCTTCCTGCGGCCTTCCCCTACCTGACAGTGTGGGGGAACACAAAGATGCCCCCGCTGTTGAGTACCATGGGTATTGTGAAATACTGGAGGACGACGACAACAGGAGTCACCAGCCTATCGTGAACCCAGAAGAAGGAAGTGATTCTCCAATGCCTGTTTTGGCAGATTGTTTCCCAGCAGCAGGACACGGAGGTGGAGGAAGAGGAGGGGGAGGGCCATCAAACATCCCACAAATGCGTGATGTCTGTGTGGATGACACAAGAACTGTCGTAAATTACATAACGCCAGTTGAGTGATACTGACAAACAGATAGTGCCTCTCGAGCCAAATATATACTAAACGTAACGTGTATTGTGTTTCTTTCTTCAGCGGCATGTTCAAGAGTGTTTATTAATCTCCCATTTGTTCAACGCAGCGGTTCACATGCACGATATTTGCACGAACTTTTCAGCAATTTGATGCATGATTCTCGCGCAATTCATCTCCATAAGGTTTGAAAGAGAGAGAGAGAGAGAGGAGGGAGGGAGAGAGAGGGAGGAGAGAGAGGGAGAGAGAGAGGGAGAGAGAGAAAGGGAGAGAGAGAGAAAGGGAGAGAGTGAGAGAAAGGGAGAGAGAGGGGGAGGGAGAGAGAGAGAAAGGGAGAGAGAGAGAAAGAGAGAGGGAGGGAGGGAGAGAGCGAGGAGAGAGAGGAAGAGAGAGAGAGGAAGAGAGAGAGAGAGAGAAAGAGAGAGAGAGAGAGAGCGAGAGAGGGAGAGAGAGAGCGAGATACATAACATATTGTGAGTGTTTTAACTGTGCCTAAACTTTTTGATGGGTAGTATATTTTGTTTTGGTTTGTGAATGGTATGGAGTGAGTGAGTGAGTGAGTGAGTGAGTTTAGTTTTACGCCGCACTCAGCAATATTCCAGCTCTATGGCGGCGATCTGTATATAATCGAGTCTGGACCAGAAAATTCAGTGATCAACAGTTTGAACATCGATCTGCGCAATTGGGAACCGATGACATGTGTCAACCAAGTCAGCAAGCCGGACCACCCGATCCCGTTAGTTGCCTCTTACGACAAGCATAGTCGCCTTTTGAGGCAAGCATGGGTTGCTGAAGACCTATTCTACCCCGGATCTTCACGGGTATGGAAACGTATAAGGGCCAAAACATGTTTTTATCATCTACGAAGAAAATACTGTCACAAAAGTAACAGCGAGGCCGCAACGACCCAGAACAAATATGTCAGGAGATGTGTGGATGATAACAGGCAAGCAGGAAGGGAATTCCCTCAACTGTAACTAGGATTCCCTGACAGTCCAGCTGTACCTCACACCGCCCTAGCCGCAGGAGAAGGCGGTTGTGGATGATAACAGGCAAGCAGGATGGGAATTCCCTCAACTGTAACTAGGATTCCATGACACTCCAGCTATACCTCACACCTCCCTAGCTTCAGGAGAAGGCGGTTGTTGATGATAACAGACAAGCAGGATGGGAATTCCCTCAACTGTAACTAGGATTCCCTGACAGTCCAGCTGTACCTCACACCTCCCTAGCTTCAGGAGAAGGCGGTTGTGGATGATAACAGGCAAGCAGGAAGGGAATTCCCTCAACTGTAACTAGGATTCCCTGACAGTCCAGCTGTACCTCACACCTCCCTAGCTTCAGGAGAAGGCGGTTGTGGATGATAACAGGCAAGCAGGAAGGGAATTCCCTCAACTAGGATTCCATCAAGCTGTATAGGGAATATATTCCATTTGTTGTCCAACAAGAAAGCGATCACAGTTGTGCAATCGTTGAAATACCTCTGTCCTTTCCATTTACAGTCCGTTTGAGTCAGAAATGGAACGATGAATTGCAAATTTTATCATTGTACAAAATTGCCACATAAATATAAATAGTACACATGTTTATCATTAACTAATACCCTACAGCTTTCTTATATTTGAAAATTTTCCGGACTCCACCAAAAAAGTTCTTTAAGAAACTATCATTAAAATTTTGACACAGTTCACTATATGTTACGAGGGAGGAGTGCAGAGAAAGGGACATCCAGGTGTTAGAGAAGCACTTGCACAAGTGCCCACCAAGTTATTGATTCATTAGCTTGTGCTGTACAGTCTCCATCCTTTCTCGCACTCCTGGCTCACCAATGACTCTCATTGCCAAATGGTCACAATGACCCGGTCCCCGATGAATAGAGCGTTCGGAGAACAACGTCGATCTTTACCTCATACCTCACTAGCTGAACCTCACACCTCCCCAGCTGTACATCACACGTCCCCAACTGTACCTTAAACCTCCCCAGCTGTACCTCATACCTCACTAGCTGTACCCAACACCTCCCCAGCTGTACCCAACACCTCCCCAGCTGTACCTTAAACCTCCCCAGCTGTACCTCACACCTTCCCAGCTGTACCTCACACCTCTCCAGCTGTACCTTAAACCTCCCCAGCTGTGCCTTAAACCTCTCCAGTTGTACCTCACACCTCCCTAGCTGTACCCAACACCTCCTCAGCTGTACCTTACACCTCTCCAGCTGTACCTCATACCTCACTAGCTGTACCTCACACCTCCCCAGCTGTACCCAACACCCCCAGCTGTACCTCACCCCTCCCAAGCTGTACCTCACCTCTCCCCAGCTGTACCTTAAGCCTCTCCAGCTGTAACTCAAACCTCGCTAGCTGTACCTCACCCCCCAGCTGTACCCCACCCCTCCCCAGCTGTACCTCCCCCCTCCCCAGCTGTACCTCACCCCTCCACAACTGTACCTTAAACCTCTCCAGCTGTAACTCACACCTCTCCAGCTGTACCTCACACGTCTCCAGCTTTACCACACACCTCCCCGGCTGTACCTCACACCTCCCAAGCTGTACATCATACCTCCCTAGTTGTACCACACACCTCCCCAGCTGTACCTCAAACCTCCCCAGCTGTACCTCAAACCTCCCCAGCTGTACCTTAAACCTCTTCAGCTGTACCTTACACCTTATCAAAATATCATTAAAATATGGACATAGTTGACTATTTGTTACGAGGGATGAGCGCAATGAGAAGAACAGCCGGGAGTGCAAGAAAAGCATTCGTATACTCATACCCTTCTCGTAGCCATTTAACTGAACTTGACTGTCTCTGAGCGCAAACGCACAGAGAGACAGACATTGTCTAGTCACCGAAGTATTTTCAAGGGCATGTAACTCTAGTTTACTTGGAAAACAAACATGGCATTCACGCAAAGGAAATTACTTCAAAGGGTATGTTTAACATGTTTAGATACTTTCCTACGCCATAATGTTAACATATCCTGCTTATAAAAAGTCAAGGAGGACTATGCAATAATTAAACATACTTGAAGTGTCTGGGAACAAATTATGCAAGCTGAAATGACAATTATTTCAATTACTTATTTTGACCCAATTTCTTCTCTACATTCTGGTTGTTTCCCGGACATGGCTACAAGAGCGGTACGAGTCTTCTTTCAGGTTACGGAAAGGGACGAGTAGTTACGGAAAGGGGCGAGGAAGGATGGAGACGGCACAGCACAGGGTAATGAATCAATAACTTTGTCGGCACTTGTGCATGTGCGTGTCGTATACCTGGCTCATCCTCTCTTTGCACTCCTCCCTCGTAACAAATAGTGAACTGTGTCAATACTTTAATGATAGTTTGTTAAACTTTTGTGTTTTTAGGACATAAATTCTGCACAAAAATCACCAAGTTGGTCTGATGTTTTAATTATGATCAGCGTATAATATATTTATTAGTTTTCGAGTTAGAATGCAATTCATTGGATCGCTTTTGAGCTAGGCCGACTGTAGTTTCCTCGAAGGTCGAGTTGAGATCAGAAAAAGGCATATAGTTTTAAAGTGCAATATTCCTCTCAAAAGTTCAACAGACGCATCTGCAATGGGTACATACATCTTGTTTGGTATATTGTAATAATTATTGTGTTATTTCTTGAAATGATTTTAAGCATATTGCTTTTTTTATTGTAGTGACATAGGTAGTTCTGCCACGTTCTGCCCGGACTTAGGTCATTCTGCCAGTAAAAGGAAATTCAATAATCAGTTTTGCTTACATAATTCTAAAAGTATTTAATGAAAGAACATTAAAGTAAAGCATGATGCATTTGATCCCACATCGCAAGACTTCCAAAGAAAACAGGGGCGGTGGGGTAGCCTAGTGGTTAAAGCGTTGGCTCGTCACGCCGAAGACCCAGGTTCGATTCCCCACATGGGCACAATGTGTTAAGCCAATTTCTGGTGTCCCCCCGCCGTGATATTGCTGGAATATTGCTAAAAGCGGCGTAAAACTAAACTCAGTCAGTCAGTCCAAAGAAAACAAGGCCCTTTTCCCAGTAATTTTCAAGATACCACTTTTTCGCCTCTCCTGAAAATCTACGAAAAGTGACTTAGGTCGTTTTGCTCCTTAACTTTTCCTATCATGTCGATTTGAGAGCGCCATACAATATTTCTAAATTTCATGTACGCATTGAAGATGACACTACAATCATGATTGGTGGCTCACACATTGCTACGACCAAACGAGAAATTGTAAATATTTATTACCTCGCGTCGATTCACATCTTCCCTCAAATGGAAGCAGTAGTCCTCATATCCAAGCAAAACGCCTTCAAAGAGAGAGGTACACAAGTTGCACCATTCAAAGGTGTAAACGTCTGTTAGACATCAACTGTGCTGTACTTTGTTACTGTACAGCGCCATGAGACAACGCCATATGGGATATTGGTAGTCACGCGCAATACCGTGATCACGTGCCCCAATCATATCTCGTCCTGTGTCACAAAGCCCTCAGCGTATACATTTGTCCAGGCGCTTAACAGCTGCGCAGAAGATCCACACGTCTGGAAAGTGTTTTGAAGAGTGATGAACATCATGTGCATCTATTCACTCAGCTGGGATACGATGACATGTGCAAGGACAGGTTGACCGCTGTAGTAAAGTGAATCCAAAACTTGATCAATCCAAAACTTGAGCTGTTTTAACAAGTATCTTCCACCATACTCAGCTATAAATAGATCTAACACCCCCCCCCCACCCCCACCCCCAAGCCCTCCGTTTTCACACTCCAACAAGCGGAAGTCTCTTTCTCCACATATCGTTATCAGATATTTCTGGAGTCTAACCGAGACGAGAGTATTTCCCGAGAATACAACGTGGGCGGGCTTATTACATGTAGGGGTGACAGTCTGTTAGGACATTCACAGATTGGCGTATTTATCAGATGTTACTCATACCTATAACAGAAACTAACTCAGCCATCTTGAATATTTATTAGGGAAATGTTTGAACATTACGTATCGATTGCCTTTCTGTTCTGTTCGTCAAATGCTAAGTGCCTTCTCCCCCTGTGTGATTATGTTACCGGTTTCAAGGAATTGGCAATGTGTCAAGTTGATCTGTGGGGGTCGTTCTGTTCAAGCTGCAGTGTCAGACTGTATATGACCTTGCAGTAAGAGCTGTTAATTTTGGCCCAGATAGCAGTCATGAACAGCGAATTGAATAACGTCCTGAATATGCCTAATTGTGTCCATTAACAGTTTGGTGAAAGTTTCATTCCTATAACTATGGAATCAAGGAAGGAACATTGTCGCGTTTCGCCCATTCAAAAAGAAACAAAAAATGTGAAAATCAACAGCGACAATCCAGGATCGAATACATAGTGCCCTGGACTTGAACTTGCCACACAATAATTGTGTCTCCATGAGTTACTGTATTTTGCATGTTGAGTATCAGTCCCTCTCCGTGGAGTGCTTTACACCTACACAAGGTGGACAATTCCAGAGTCACTGAATAGTGTGGTCGGTGGCTAAGTAGATTTCGGTGCGCTTGGGTAGCCTAGTGGTTGAAGTGTTCGCTCGTCACGCCGAAGACCCGGGTTTGATTCCCCATATGGGTACTACTCACTATTTGTGAAGCCCATCTCTAACGACCCCAGTGTTTGATATTGCTGGAATGTTGTTAAAGCGGCTTAAAACCATATTCACTCCCTCACTCACTGGATTGCATTACGTGGTTTCATGTGTCACGGTATCAACCTCTCGGGCTTCTGGTCAAGTATCAGTAAGTCACAGACAATCTGATATTGTTGGAGTGCTTCTGACTGCAGCGTAATGAAAGGACATGGTGAACAAATTCTTGGGTTTACTGATTATTATTACGATGCTCTCATTGAGTCAGGAAATATTTCTTGTATCTATCTCTAACAAACAAGGACGTGATTTAACCTCATATTTGTACTTTTAGTTTCCGTGCAGTTGTCCCATTTACATTATGTAGGCCATTAATCATCGACCTGACCATTCTTGTTCATGAAACCATGGTCACGGAAACAGCAAAACATGTTAAATTGAAATATTGACAAAATGCATAATTATCACATTTCTGCGTTCATCTTCAATACAGGAGGACTTCCATACCATCTGAAATAGAAAAAACAATCTGACAATCCAGAAATACCCCAGTACTCCTGTATACAAAGACAACTCAGTACACCTCCATACAGTGATATCCCAGTACACCTACATACAATGACAACCCTGTTCACCTACATGCAGCACAAACCTAGTACACCTACATTCTCTGACAACCTACTACACCTACATACAGAAACAACCCAGTACATAGGCATAGGTGATGGCCCAGTACACATACAAAAATTAAAAACCCAGTACAGCTACATACAGTGACAAACCAGTCACCTATATACAGTGACAACCCAGTACACCTACATACAGTCACAATCCATTACACCTGGTGACGGTGACAAACCAGTACACCTACATACAGCAACAACCCAGTACACCTGGTGACAGTGACAAACCAGTACATCTATATACAGTGACAAACCAATACACCTGGGGCAGTGAGGTAGCCTAGTGGTTAAAGCGTTCGCTCGTCACACCGAAGACCCGGGTTCGATTCCCCACATGGGTACAGTCTGTGAAACCCATTTCTGGTGTCTCCCGCCGTGATATTGCTGGAATATTACTAAAAGCGGCGAAAAAACCAAACTCACTCACTCATTTCTGGTGTGGCTGAACTGCCACTGAAATTATTAATCTGTATTATTTGTTTTCTATGTTTTGGTTTCACAGTGAAATCTTTTGAGCATAAATTTTGGGGTGAAGTTATAGTTGGAAATTGAACATTATAATGTTTTCAGGTGATGTAGTAAATCTGCCCTGTACCATCCGCCCTGAATCAGCTTACGTTGTTTTATAGGCAGTGTTAAATTACCCGTGAATGGAATTTATTTTAGACTACCTTTGTGGATGTCTTTACGGAATGTATACCGTTTACCTCGAGCTCCTTCTTAAACCAGTTTCGGTTCGTGAATTGAAAACGTCAAACAAAATCAGCTGCAATTTATTTAAAATGTGGGTAATAAATAGAACACCGCTCTCGTTCTGGTTAGACATAAGGTTTACCAAAATCGTGAATAATCTTACCATATCTGACTCAGCGAAAGTGCTTCCTGAAATCGGCATCCAGTGAGAACTGTATTCTAGCATTCTGTGTGTACCCACCCAAAACTGTATCTCCCCATATTTTCAACCCGAATATGAGTACGACCATTGTTAAAGTAAGAACGAGTAGATAGCCGGTACTTACAGTTATATCATGGGGGGGGAACAGTTACATTCCAAAGTGTATGGTACAGGCACTAAACCACATCCATCCGAGCCCTGACACCAGTGGGATCAACTGTCTCCATGCAATGTGGCGTCTGTGCACCTTGTGCCTGCTTCATGTGTAATTATTGAACCCGCAATGGCGGTCGGTCGATGTGAAACAGCTGTATACAAGCTTGTCGCACCAAACAGGTTAGTCGTTATTCCCAAAGCAAGCTGAATTAGGAGATAAACCTACTGTGTGGGAAAATCAGAAGTATATAACGAAATTATAATAGCTCTAAGTTTAATTTAAAATCTTTAAATTAGGTAGGTTTATCTCCTAATGAAAAATTTAGAGCTATTATAATTTCGTTATATACATCTGATTTTCCTTCACAGTAGGTTTATCTCCATTCTACCACGACAATTTTATGAACAATTTCAGTTGGAACTCTTTCGTTGGTGACGAGTCAATACGTGAAGCGGCGTCGCATTCCCATCTCAAGTGGCATCACCTCAAACGGGATGATTAGTGGCCAACCGTCAATGACTAACAAACTCCAGATTCAGTAATAACAAATCACGTTTTGTTTTTGTCAGTGCAATTATCACCAATCATTAACTGATAAGTTGGAAAACATATATGAAATAAGTTTAAAAAGTTTGGTTCACATTTGAAAATTCCACCGTAGACCCTTTCCCCACCAGAATAATGGCAGCAACCTCATGGCCTTGACCTTTATGGAAGTCAGTGTTTACATTTACGTGCAAATTTGAAAAGATGCGACAGGAGGGCCTCTGACAGTTTGCGCAAGGTTAACCTGATTGTATGACTGAGATAGTTTTTTTATATTTAATTACTGGTACTGGTACAAAATTTAAGAGTAGAGGCGCTTTTGCTGTAATGAGAAGTCCGTGTTGTGCCGAATTTAGATACTGTTGAATTTTGCGCCCTGTCAACTGGACGATTTCACGCACATCTACGTCTCCGTGTGACAGAAGAGTCACTGTGGTGGTGCTCAAATTCGATTCTACAGATATTATTTTCTACATTTTGGAAAGTGTTTTGTGACCTAGTGGCTTCAAAGTGTAGTGGATTAAAATTGAGTCGGATTCGCTGGCAAGTTCGCGAGGCTGTTGACAAAGAGCCAGATTTGTGGTGATATTTCCGAAAGGATGGATCAGGACATGAGGGTGTACCTCTGGCATAAACACGGTAAGGTAATTAATTATACTTTAATAGACTACTTTAGATCAAGCAGTGTAATGGATAAGAGGGATCATTACTAAGCTAAATAACTTTTTCAACGATATTATACTTTTAGAAAAAACATATGTTGGGCTAAACAGTACGGTTTGCAGATTCTGTAATAAAATTGTGTTTTACTACCGCTAAATCTGAAACCGTACAAATTTCAAAAAATATATCATTTTGTTTGAATTGATAACCCAACTGTTTATTTATGCGGACGGAAGGCATTAACATTTCTTCGGCGGTCGATGTTAATGCCGGATCAGCTCAGCGGCGATATCGTTGACGAAAGCTGATAATAAATTTAATACGGAAATTATGTAGCAGTCTATTGCTTAATCTATTTTGACATAACATAGAATGAACATAAACATATTTCTCTTGCTGAATTTTTATTCGGAAAGCAGACGATGGTTTGATCTTGTTCGAATGAATATTTGTTGCCATGCTTTCGAAGTACTTTTGTATGTATAAACACCTATTGCTGTGATTTACGCAAGTAGTGAGTCGAGCCCGTCATCGTTAAATCCATCTTTAAAGACATGTGTAATTTCTATCATTGACTCACAACTCTACCCTCACTTCTATAGCTTTACCTCAAACACCCCTAAATTCTACCATTGACTCACAACTCTACCTTCCACCTACATAGCTTTAACCCGTACACCCCTAACTTATATCATTGACTCATAACTCTACCCCCACCTCCATAGCTTTACACCATACACCCCTAAATTCTATCATTGACTCACAACTCTACCCTCCAAATCCATAGCTTTACCCAATACACTCCTCAATTCAATCATTGACTCACAACTCTACCTTCCACCTACATAGCTTTACACCGTACACCCCTAACTTATATCATTGACTCACAACTCTACCTTCGACCTACATAGCTTTACCCCGTACACCCTTAAGTTATATCATTGACTCACAACTCTACCCTCCTCCTCCATAGTTTTACCCCATACACCCCTAACTTCTATCATTGACTCACAACTCTACCCCCACCTCCATAGCTTTACACCATACACCTCTAAGTTCTATCATTGACTCATAACTCTACCCTCCACCTCTATAGCTTTACCCCATACACCCCTAACTTATATCATTGACTCACAACTCTACCTTCGACTTACATAGCTTTACCCCGGACACCCCTAACTTCTATCATTGACTCACAATTCTACCTTCCACCTCCATAGCTTTACCCCATACACCCCTAACTTCTATCATTGACCCTCTACTCTACCACCACCTACATAGCTTTACCCCATACACCTCTAAGTTCTATCATTGACTCACTACTCTACCCCCACCTACATAGCTTTACCCCGTACACCCTTAAGTTATATCATTGACTCACAACTCTACCCTCCTCCTCCATAGTTTTACCCCATACACCCCTAACTTCTATCATTGACTCACAACTCTACCCCCACCTCCATAGCTTTACACCATACACCTCTAAGTTCTATCATTGACTCATAACTCTACCCTCCACCTCTATAGCTTTACCCCATACACCCCTAACTTTTATCATTAACTCACAACTTTACCCCCACCTCCATAGCTTTACCCCATACACCCCTAATTTCTATCATTGACTCACTACTCTACCCTCCACCTCCATAGCTTTATCCCATACACCCCTATCATTGACTCACAACTCTACCCCCACTTCAATACCTTTACCCCATACACCCCTAACTTCTATCATTGACTCACAACTCTACCCCCACCTCCATAGCTTTACACCATACACCTCTAAATTGTATCATTGACTCACAACTCTACCCCCACCTCCATAGCTTTACACCATACACCTCTAAGTTCTATCATTGACTCAGAACTCTACCCTCCGCAAATAAGCTTTACCCTGTACACCCCTAACTTCTTTCATTGACTCACAACTCTACCCCCCACCTCCATAGCATTACCCCATACACCCCTAACTTCTATCATTGACGCACAACTCTACCCTCCGCCAATTAGCTTTACCCTGTA